TATATATATCTGTGTCAGTGTAAACTACTTGTACTTTTTGATGACAAAACCTTGTCGAAACGATGTACATTTGCTGTTATGTTTAGCTTATATTAAAATTTCTTCATTACCCATTCAAGCCATCTCCAAGCATTATTAGTCTCAAAGTGAGTTCCTCGTCATCGAATTAATAAAATCAATTCCAAGATTAGTAAAAGTATTTGTTATTTACGTATAATAGGAGGCTCAATCAGTGAAATGCTGTATCCAGCATACTTATTCATAAAATTGCCAATACTTATGAACTACGGTCTCCTAGTAACGTGTTCATGTCCAAGTTCTTCTTTACACAGTTGCATCGCTTTTCGCTTTACTCAATATACCTCCAAAGATCACGTCATAAAATCTTTAATGTTTCCTCTATCCACTCATGTGCTTCCGTCCTGTATTTTTCTTTTCTTACACTGTAACCCTCTCTCTCAGCAGAGCTTTCTACAGTTACCACAACATCCACCACCTCGACAAAACATCGCTCTCTGCACTGTACTTTTTTAATTGTTCACTCTTTCTATTTTGGCCATTCAAGAGATTGGTAAACACAATTTCAAGGGAAGGTTTTATTTCCTCTCACCCCTTATGATAAATCTCAAATGTATAATCACTTCATTTTCACAAGTAGAGTAAAGAGAAGCAACTTTATTTCTAAACCCCTCCTGGTTGTTGTTCTAAAGACTGCCATCGGTTTTTGTTCTCGATGCCCATTCCTCCTTGTTTTACAACAATAATTTGGACTGTTTGTTGCCCAGTGATGAACACACTGGATTGTAAACCTGAAAGGAAATGGTTCGCGTACCGTTACTTCAAATTTGCACTTTGCAATTGTGGCTCTGTGTGCATATAAGAATGACACTGAAATGCCATTATTCCATTGGATTAGCCCTAGAGTTGGCGATAGGTGCTGTTGACTAGCTATCTTCTTTACACTACATCAGTTCAAAATTAGAGACGACTCGTGCAGGTAGTCTTAGTGTACCTTTGTGTGAATATCAAAAACAAACATTAATTTAACAGTTACTTATAGGAAAAAGTTTTTTCTTTCAAATCTTATCTTGAAGCTGTTTTTATTACCACAACTTTGTTACCTTTATTCCTGAATTCTGTACTCCATACATACTCTCAGTTACTATTGGTTCCTATAACATACCTTTTTATAACTTTTGCCATAATATTAAAAGTGAACAAACTATATTTTGATGTCAATGTCAAAATCCTTGGGGAGAATAACCTAAGTATATAGTATTTAAACATGTTATTCTTTTTTTTGTTATTTTTGTTTGGGGTGAAGCTCGGGTAGATTCTGTGGTTGAGCTCTGGATTTTAGAGCTGATTAACAGGGTTAAAATCCGTGCGATACCACAAAATATTCCCCGCATTTTAAGTTGTAGGTGCGTTATAAATGTGATAGTCAATCCCTTAGCGTAGGAGTAGGGTGCTTATGACTGGCTGCTTTCCCTCTGGTCAGTATTCCAACGTTATAGACGGTGGCGGATAGCCTTAGTAACTTTGCAACAAATACAAAACTTTAATTTTTCCTTCGTTCTTGGAGTTAGGATTCTACACTAGACTGAAGAAATCCGTTGTTGTACTGATACTCTAGACAATATCGTTATTTGCTTTTTCAACAAACTCCTTGAACGTATTTAAACTCAACATCTGCCTGTACATATCTAGAAAACAATAGTACTCTAAATAATGTCCAGAGTTAGTGAAGAAAGAACCGTCAGACTGCTGATCACCTAGTTAATATGCATCATTACAGATTTTAATCTAAATTCTGCAACCGTAACCACTTTTTTAGGCATGCTGGACTAAAATATGAATTACAACCTCGTGATCTACTCTGTATTCTAGTCAGGTGAATGCTAATTTCTTTGATAACGGTTCCATTAACATTCAAGTTCAATGAGCAGTTTCCGACTTATCCTGTCCTGCAGCTGAGGCTTCTGTGATCACTCTCCTGCTGTACGTCATTTATTCTAATAACAGGCATTTTACGTGGATGGTTAATTTTAGATTCTCCAGTATATGGACGACATTGTCATAAGAAGCTCTTCTCTTAGCCCACTTTATGCAACAGCTAAAGTACAGAACTATTTCAATGATCTTTCACCATATGGCTAATAATCTAAATTCAGTGAAAAGACAAATCATTGAATATAAGCATAAGCTTAAAAAATGCTAGAAACAGATGAATAAAGATCATTCTACAGTTTCAGGGTATGTTCTTTACCCTTAATAAAGAATCAAGTTTCTAGGAACATCTTTGGTCAATATTTTTGAACTTGAAGCTGGAAATGTTGTCTGTGCTGGTATTCGTTACGCTTTGTGTTAGGCACTACGCTGATGTTATTGTCTTCCTTGATTGTTTTGAATTTGGCGAAAAGCTACATGAGGGCTATCTGCGCTAGCCGTCCCTAATTTAGCAGTGAAAGACTAGAGGGAAGGCAGCTGGTCATCACCACCAACCGCAAACTCTTGGGGCTACTCTTTTACCAACGGATAGTGGAATTGACCATCACGTTATAACGCCACCACGGCTGAAAGGGTGAGCATGTTTGGTGGAACGGGGATTCGAACCCGCGGCCCTCAGATTGCGAGTCAAACGCCCTAACCAGTGCCTTCCTTGACTTTTAAGACCTAGGAAAATGTCTTGTGTGACTATTATCCACAAAAGCCAAATCTACAGGTGCTTTTCACGTGCCTGTTATTCTCACCTGCTGCCTAGGTTATCTACGTTTACAGAAAATTATACATCATCCTTTTACAACGTTAATTTTTATCCCATCTTATTCAACTCGGTAGACTTCAGCTTCTTGACTCATTGGTCATTACTTTCTATGCAGCAACCACTCACATTCTCGGTGGTTATGTCAAGCATCAATCACAAACCGTTTCTAGTATCCACCAATAAAGTGTTTTCTTTTACATGTATTTTCACTCTATTGTGAAATAAACATTATTTCCATAGAGCTCACCCATAGAGGGTAAAAACTCTTGGCATTGCCTAGTATGACTAATTTTATAAAATAAAATTATTATATTCTCTACGTCATAATTTAGCAGGACTCTTAAGATAGAATTTCAGTTTTATAACCCAAAAAAAATGGGTACGTGAGAAACATATAATATTATAAAACGGTAGGCTAGTTCTGATAAGGTAATATTATTGAAAATGTTTACGGGATATTTAAAGTTGTGAGTTATGCTAGTAATTCATTAAAAATCAAAGAAGATGTTGTAAGGAAGGCCCTAAAAAGTTGGGAAATAAACAGAAAACAACAGTAAAGGAAACTCTTGAGAATGGTGCTCAGTACAAAGTACCATAAAAGTCAGTGACATAGTACTATATAACTCTTACAATATTTCTAAACTCACAATACAAGGCAGTGAAGAAAAAATACTCGGTAATATACGTTAAAGTATTTATTCTGAAAAAATGAATAAACACCAAGCAGTAAGATTAGCATGCGTGATGTAGGAAGCGATTTAAAGTATTTGATAATATATATATATATATATATAATTTTTGAATGAAGTGATACACACGCATAATGTTATAAGGAATGATATAATATTAGATAAGAATATCGTACATCTAATGGGTCGTTACAGGCTGTGAAACAAGAGCGTTAGAATACAGTCAAAGGCAGTGCGTGCAAGTAATTCGAGCTTCTGTAATAAAATTCGTTTTAAACATTTCGAGTAGAAAATAAAAATAAATGAAGAGTTATTCAATTAGGTGAACAGGAAACCCAAACAACAACAGCGGAGAACGAAAAAGCAGAGCAACCCAATTTAGATTGCAATGTCAAGTGCGCGGAAAAAGAAAACAATGAAGGTGACCGTGGGCTATAAAAACACAAAATAAACACATAACAATAAATAATGTAAATTTATTAATACGAAGTATTGTAAACATATTAACTTGAAATAACAAGGAAAACTATTTAATAATGTTGTTTTATGTTGACTGGATTGTGTTATGACACAGTTTGGTTATAGTGTGCATACGCAGTCGAGTATTATAAAAGAGTTATCACAGAGTTATGCTACTTTACGTTGTGGATTCATATACGTGAAAAACAATCTACTGTAAAGTAAGCATACATGAAATTAGATATGTCAGGTTATGATATTTAGTTTATACAGAGAAAAACTCCGTTCTGCATAAGGCGGTTATATGTGCACTGCAGACATCAACAAAAGAAGTTGGAAGTCGAATCAGCTAGATGTGCATCGAGATGGCAATCAATGAGAGTTTTAGAGAGTGTACTGCGCATGTCCTGTACGACTGTTGTGGATCGTTTATGTTTGTGAGACGACGGCTGGAGTTGCCCAGAACGATAGTTAGAAGCATCCAAGACTGGCTAGATCTGCAGAGACAGAGAAGGACAATATTTCATACCTCTAGGAATTCGTTGCAGAGGAATGGGAGGAAGATAAATAAGAGCAGTATGGCAGTAGGTTTCTAGAAGACATCGTGAACGAGTTGTCTTCTGTGTCTGGTCGATCATTAGATCCGTGACTGACGGCGGGTGGCTGGTCAACCAAACGCTCAACTGAATCTACACGTGCACTACAAGAAGTAAGTAGCAGCTTGCTACAATCGAGACTTAAACGTAGTTTTTATGAACATACCATTTAATTTAGTAATCCGTGAATAATTTCATCACTAATTATTTCAAGTGAGGATGTAAATTAATAACATTTCTTTGCTTTGGAATGATGTTTGAACTTTAGTTTAGTTTCATCTTTGGTCATCTGTAAACGCCCATCTTTCAATCGAAGTACGTTTTTTTTTTAAAGCCAGAAAATATTAAATATTACTCAGTGGGAAAAATGCATATATATTTCGTTATATATATTTAAATCGTCCAGTAAAAGCACAAAGGCATTTTATGAAATCGTTGTCATGCTTACAATTATATTTAAATAATGAATGGTGGTTTAGTCTTGGGATATAAAGTGGATCTTTATCATACGAATTTAATCTTTGAAACTCTTGCTCAACTGGCCAGGAGTATCTATGGATAAATTTAATTATTTTCAAGTATGTAGTACTTCCAGGTATCGGGTTCGAATCCGAGGTGAAGAATATATATATATATATATGTATAATACTGTGAAAAAGACATTATCGGGCATCGTATCAATATAGTTATATTGATAAAAGATACAAACTAGTGGCCGTCCAACAAACATGAAATTATGCTCAAGGATGGGCCTTGTTTGTGAGAGGAAAGAGCGTAGTTGTTTCAGCTGTTAAAAAGTGTCTTACTAGCAAGTGCTAGCAGGCTAGCCCCTTATCTCAATTGTTAGAGCACTCGCCTCGTGTTCTCGAGTACGAATCCAAGGCGAGGAAATACATATGATATAAAATTGGAAATGTCACAAATGTATGTTCTTTGCATTCTTAGTTCAATAGCGCAAGTTGAGATGCATCAGAGTAACAGAAGAAGTACTGATTTGTTTTGATATACTAATCGCTTTCCTTTTGGTTATTACAGCTCTGTTAGATCAAGTTTGTGACAATCTTTCTATATGACAACGAAATAAAATATAACTCAAACTTTAGAGTAGAAACGAAAAAAATGTAACCTACTCTAGAAAATTGTTTGTTTGATTTTAATTATGCACAAAGCTACACAAGGGCTATCTGTGCTCTGCCCACCACGGGTATCGAAACCCGGTTTCTAGCGTTGTAAGTCCGCAGACATACCGCTGTGCCACTGGGTGGCTATCGGTAAAAAATAGGACCCACACAACCAAGAGCTTGTAAAAATGCGAATTATTAAGATCTGTTTCTACTATTCATTATGATTTATCCTATGAAAAGTGCGTGAGTATGAAATTAGTTAACTGAACACGTATTTTTCATTTCGTTTTCAAATAAAAACAGTTGAATTATCTAAGCAGTAAAAACATAACTGGTGTGGTGAAAAATATACACCTTAGATAAATTCACTAACAAACGTACAAATGTTGGCACATGAGAGCCTTCGACTGTCGAGAATTCATTCGAAGTAGCTTGGCTGTTGAAAATTATTTACCTATTTCACGAGACTCAATGGTTTAGTTATTATTTGGCTTGGAAAATATAAGTACTGTGATTGTATCCAAAAAAAAAGGGCACTTGTTGGCCCTGTGGTGGAGCTCTAGATTTCGGACAGGGTAAACCGTGTTCGAAGCCACGAGATATCATAAAATATTCATCGCACTTTAAGTTATAAGCCGTTATAGGAGTGACAATCAATTCCTTAGCGTGTATGGTTGGTGGTGGTTTGCTCTTGACTGGCTGCCTTCCCTCTGGTGAGTAATTCAAAAGCTGGGAGGCGGCAGATAGCGTGATAGCTTTATCATACATACAACTTACAAATACAAGTACTTACATTGTTGTTTTCCTTCGCCAACTTTTGTCTCCAAATTTGCCCCTAATGAAGGAAGTTCCATCTTTCCAAAGTGTTTCGGTTATCAGGTTTTGTATATCTGTCTGTTTTAAAGAGATTTTCATTTACTGTGTAACTTTAATATGTACTTCAACTATTCGAGTTTACAATATACATCGTTAAGCCTTATTAATGTTTATGCTGTATGTTTTAAAAAACGTTGCCTTTTATAACCGATTTTATTTCAAATACTGACCAATAACTAACAATATAGATTTAAGTAGAACTAATAATATGTAATTTTTCTGAAACACACCAGCAGGTTGTAAAATTATCTTAGTACAGTGAATTATTCAGTTTAATTTAAAACTGATGTTTATTTGTAAAGTTAATTTATTCGTTAATAAAGTTTCACAAGAATTGTTATTCTATGTCATAAAGAAACGTTTTATATCACCAACGTTGATATTCTCAAAACGCTATTAGATAATTTATAAACATCTCGATTTTCGTTTATTGTTAAGCACAAAGCTACATAATGGGCTACCTTTCCAGTACCAACCACTGGTATTGAAACCCCGGTGTTTAAAATATCGGTCAGTTAAGACTTATATGAAGATGAATTAGTATTACATCTTATAATAAAGCAATGGCTACGTCTCATAAAGCCTAAATAGAACAACCGAGTAACAAGATTTTAAAGTTAGTCTCCAGCTACGTTGCTTTAAAAATTAGTACTTAATATGTCTATGGATGGTAGACAAACAAAACCGTAAAAGTAGGGATACCCTGGACATACGAATATGGAAAGGGTGAATTGCTAGTGATAAACGTTAGTAGAAATGAATGTATGGTTGAACAATGTTGTTGCGGGCCAAGTTTACGTGAGGCGTCTTGAAAAGAAAAGGGTGGATTTTGAGGGGGCCCAAACGCCGCCTGGTGGTTAGGAGGTTGTTTTTTTTTTTTTTTAGTTAAGGTCCCGTTATCGCCAAAGAGAAATCGCGTTTCGTGGATTGGGGTCGTGGATGCGTTATAAGAGTCACTGTCAGATCCCACTATTCGGTCTTAAAAGAGTAGATTTGTACGAAATCTAATAAACAAAAGCATTTTGACCTCCGCCTTAATGTCTCCACTTTTTTCATGCCACGCAGTCAGTCAAGTAACGGAAATTTTACAAAAACATACTTAGCCTAACTTACAAATTTTTAATGAAAAGATATGTTTGTTTTTAATTATCTATATTAATTTCTATCCCAAATGCTACATTCTATATTTTTCTTCTTGTCACATTATTCATGAATAAAGTAATAAGGGCCATGTAAACTGCATCTCTATGTACTCTAGAAATAAGCGATTTTATCATTACCGGGGTCCCCTGAATCCCACTACAGCGATTCTGCAATACTTCTGTGGAGTCTTATTGGGATCTGAACATTCGGGCATGAGAATAAAACTTGCAGAGAAATACATACGCAAGTATAGGTGGGCATGATTTCAAACGGCATAAAAAAACAGGGATAAAAGTTAAGTGGTTTTAATTGAAGGTAGAGCCATAACTATTCGAGAAGTGCTTTTTAACTGCCTTCAAGAAATCCTTTAAGCCATATCCAGATGTGGAATAGAAGGTATGACTAATTTAAGAAATGTTTATTGCTGCAATGTAGTATAGGTTTGTTAAATGATGGTTGTGTTCCAAACAAGATTTATTCGTTAAAATGTGATGACCGATTAAAACTATAAGCAAAAATTTTGAAAATATCAGATATCAAAATTTGCAGAGCATACTGGTGGATTGAAGGTGTGTAAAATCCATGACTAGCCCTGTGATCCCTTGAAACAGTCTTTGTTTTTTTTTCGCCTGAAATACGCTTTATGCACACAGCGGGCTAAGAGAACCACCAGGTAAGAGATCCCAAGTATTCAGGCATAACCATCCATAATTTTAAACTGTGAACCACACAGATGGAAAGGAAGCAGTCGGCATCACCCGCTACCTGAAATAACTACTCTTAACGAATTGTAGGATTGACTGCCATTATTATAATGCACCCACAACTAAAAGTCCGTCGATAGCGCCAAGTGTGAAATCTGAGACCCTCTGTTTCCAAGTCCAATAAGCTAATCATTAAGCCACATTTAGGCCAGATAGCTCTAATCAAATAACGAACAAAACTGTGAAGCATGTAAAATTTCAAGCTACTCGTATTATGAAACAGCTAGCAAAAATCAAATAGAACACACACACACAAAAAACGCAAGTAGCGGTTGATTAAGCTCATAAAAATCTAATACTGATAGATATAAAAAACAACAGCCTCATTCAGCCGGTGGTTCAGCGGTAGATATGAAGGACTATACCACTAAAAATCAGGCTTCGATTCTCGCGGGGTACAGAGCACTGATAGCCCATTGTGTAGATTTGTGCTTAGTAACAAAGAAATAAAGAACAAATAGCTGTTGATTAAGATTATGTTTATTTAATCAGATAGACAGCGAGATGGACTAATCTTAATTGTTTTTTGTTAATCATATAGATATTGAGGTAGGTCAGCTCTAATTTATAAATCAATATGATACGATAGTGAAGTGAGGTAGCTTTATTTTGTGATCCAGATAGTGCAGTAACTAAGTAGATTAAAAAATATCGGACTTGAGATGACCTGTTAGTGAGGTGGATTAGTCCTCGTTTCCTGATCCAGTTAGTGAGGTAACAAAGCAGATTAGTCAGTTTTATTTGAGATTATCTGGTAATGGGGTGGATTAGTTTTAATTTCCTGACTCGGTGTGACAGCTGAGTATAGTAGTCAGTTTCATACTTAAGATAATTTGGTAGTCAATTGGCTTATCTCAATTTCCTGATACAGAGAGTGACACAACGAAAACTAGTATTCAGTTTTTAGATCTAAATTAATATTAATTCACCTCACCAGCAAATCATTTTAGATGTAAAAACTGATAAATCTGTTTCTTTGTTTCGTTACCTTAACCAAGAAATTAATATTAATTCACCTCACCAGCAAATCATTTTATTGGTTAAGGTAACGAAACAAAGAAACAGATTTATCAGTTTTTACATCTAAAATGATTTGCTGGTGAGGTGAATTAATATTAATTTCTTGGTCAAGGTAATGAAACAAAGAAACAGATTTATCAGTTTTCATACTTGAGAAAATTTTGTAGTGAAGATCTGACCAAGATA